GAGTTCCCCATCGATTCCCTCCAAGTCAATTTGATATGATAGGACTATCGTCCTTGGTAACTTCCCTGATGATAGAGCTTAACATTTTTCTTCTTCAGGTGTCAGGTGTGGAGCAGACATTGACGATCATAGTACTCCAATCCCTCGTGTTGTCTGCTCTCCTGATCACCTCGGTTTTTCTCATAATCTGAACTTTATTTCATCTAGCGCTTAATTTGGTCAGTTTGTATAAAAATAATTTGATCGATTGATTTTCCTCTATTCCTTTTGATCAACTAATTGTCCTCGACTCATTCCAGGTCAGCTGGATATGCAAGGACTACGTCATCAACAAGCTGACCTCAAAAGAGCTGATGAGCCGTAAGGTCGGCCTTGTGCCCTCCCATTGGCCCAGATCTATCCACGTGATCCACGCTGGGGCCGCACTGGAGAACCTGTACCCGCGTACCTACTCCAACGTCTCCAGGAAACTCTCCATGACCATGAGTTCTGCCAAGGTCGTGAGGGCCACGATGACGTCATTTCTCCAGGTCCTGTTCGAGGGCGGCGTCACGTGGGCAAAGGTCAGACCGAACTGTTGCTATCTGCTTTTGGTTCGGTTGGCTCAATAAAGGTTTTACAGTGCTTGAAATACTTCAGGTCATATAAGTGCTGAAGGTTAGAGTAGCAAAGTGACAAACCTAGAAAGGAGAGGGACAGAAGAAGCAAACCATACAAGAGCGTCTGTGTTGTTGTTGACAACACATCCTCCGTGAGATATAATATACAAAAAATGCAACCCAGTGTCTGTAGTGTGCCGGTGAGGCGCTTCGAATTCAATTCCTGGGTGTGAAGAAACTTTAAAAGAGTATCTCTAGGCCTTTCTGCTGCTATGTTGTATCCCTCTCAGCAGCCCAGGATAGCCCTGACTCGCATGGTTGGAAACCCGCTTCCTAAATGGTCTAAATTGTGTTGATGGGGGTTAAAAACACCTACATTTAAAGGCACAGTCTCGTTTAGCCCGATAGGTCTTCAGGGAAGTCATGTTCAGACGAGATACAAAATATGCCATGTTTTGTCATGTTTCTAACTTTCAGATAGATAGATAGATAGATAGATAGATAGATAGATAGATAGATAGATAGATAGATAGATAGATAGATAGATAGATAGATAGATAGATATTGTAGAGAAAGGGCAAGATGTACGAGCAGAAACAACACAATGAAAGAAAAGGAGGGCATACCAGTGGTACCCTCCAACTACCCAAGTCTCTATTCTTCGGACACAGACACATTTTAAAAAAATAAAAGGCACAATATTAACTTAACTACAGTTGCGTTTTCTCTCACATCTCCACCGCCCCCTCTTCAATCCTAACCTCCCCTTTCTCCCCAGCCCCCTCTTCTCATACACCCTCTGTCACCACCCTCACTCCCTCTTCCCCCACTTCCATTCCTCGCATCCTCGTCTTTCTCTCTACTTCCACATCTTCCATGCACCCCTCTTCCCCACATACATTTTATTCCAACTCTTTTTGCCCCAACCCTCAGTTATCTAACTCCACCCACACTTTCCCCTACTTCCTCTTTGGTTCCCCTTTCCCTACCACCCCACCCCATCCCCTTCCTCTCTTTCTTTCCACCCCACCTTCATCCCTCTTTCTCCTCATTTTCCCCACCTGCCACAAACTGCGTATCGGCGTCTATGATGTAGTAGTTAAGCGCTTAGCTGTCGCACGCAGAAGACCCGAGTTCGATTCCAGAGAGGGGTGAAAACTTCTCCATTTCAGCCGGGGTTGGCCCTGACAAGCAGTGTCGGAAGCCCACCTCTAAAATAATATAAACTGTTTCATTGGGGATGTTACGTCAACAACATTTTGTTATTATTTATTTAATTTTTACAGATCGTGTCCATGTTCGCCGTGGCCGGCCTTTTCGCCGAGGAGTGCTCCAGTCAAGGTCACGCTGACTTCGTTCAAGAGGTGGTGGACACGGTCGTGGACTTCACAGGCTCCGCGCTGCTCCAGTGGTTGGTGGTCCAGGGAGGATGGGTGAGTACAGGGTTGGAATTTCCTTTTGTTGGTGGAATGTGTCATTTCTCTTTAGCTTTAGTAAGACTTCTACGGCATTATTATGCGCCCTTATCTACGGCTGTCATCTGCCCAGGTGCACTGTTCCAACGGTCATGCAGTCTAAGACTTATGTTGTCACTCCACGTATAGTGGTAGTCTTTGTTTTCCCACAGTCCTCATCCCCTCTAATTTGTCCTCTACTATTCTATTTGAGATGTGATGTATCTCTTATAAACCTCAGTACCGATTGACCATCTTGTTTACAACCCGCACGCCAAGGAGTTCTAGCTAAAACTTTAGCATGTCAGTACCATGATAAATCGCCAAATTTGAAACAGACATCGGCGATCATGGTTTCCATTCATTTCTCTGCTGCGATTGCTTTAAAAAACCACACGAATATAGTAAGTATAATCCTGGTATTAACTCGTTATCCAACAGTTCAAGCTTTCGAAGTATGTTCCTCTGGTGCTGCGTCGCTTTGTTTGCCGTCAGTTTTGCCAGTGAGAGCAAGATTTTCAATGCCTTAATGTCGTTTCAAGTTGGCCAGAGACAGCAGTTAGATTGTCTCTTTCTACTTATTGCTTTTATTAGTTGTCAGCCCACTTCAGTTTCTTTCATCAGTTAATTTGATTTTTTTTCCATTCAACGAAATTCACAATGGTCTAAGCATTTTATAGAGTTGTGTTGATTTCTTTTTAAACAGTTACCCATTTCTGAGAAGTAACTTTAGAATACTCTTTCTTATTGGCTTGAAATTAATGATAATCAAGAACAACAATGTCTCTTTATATTGTTAGCAGTTAAAGGGATTCAGCCCATCTTTAGCAATAGTATTAATAATTATATCTGAGTTACATATATTTTTGGGGTACACACCATTTTACTTCAGAATTACATTTTTTTTCTT